GAGCACGCTGCCATTACTGCATCAGGTGGGTGATACTAATAAATAAATAGGCAGAGTGGCAGTAATAATGTTCTTTTGAAGATGTTGAAGTACTACTTGTCATGGCTTCATTTAGTCATAACACATAGGCATCATTGCTGCTCTCCCAGAAAAGTGGTTGCATCTGCAGTTAGCTATGTAAACAGGACAGGTGAAGTATTTGAAGGATTTTTAAGATTTACTGGTTTTTTTTAAAGCCTGTTTAATGAAACAGATTGCACACAATCCACACCTGAGCACCATACTTACATGTAGCCATAGCTCAAATTGTTTCTTAGCTTCTTTTCTGAAAAATTATTGACAGTAATAACAATAAATTCCAGAAAAATAAGCATCAGAATACTTTCTCTGACCCCCAAAAATGTATCCAGTATAAAAAGTCCCAGTGTGCATATTTACTTTCCTGTACTGTTCAAGAAAACATAGTTGTGCTTCATTATCAAAAGTTGATTCTGGTAGATATCAAAAGAGAATGTGAAATATGCAAAAATGTTTTCTTAGGATAGAATGAATTGGCTAACATGGGAGTTCTTTTTTTCAATGAGATAGTAACATAAGAAAATGTTTTGTCATGTACACAGATTTGGAAACCTTCACCGCACAGCTGTGTTATTACATTAGGCATACTTCCTTTACCTGGGTGATTTTTTTTAACCAATATGAAGAATGAAAGAAATTTTTATTACTGTGACTTATCCTATCAAATTTGGACTATAAATTTCATTGAAATTATCATTATGAGATCTAGGAAAAGTTTCACCCAGCAGGTAATAATTGTTGTTCTCCAAAGGCAAGAGAGGAAAACCAGTCTCATCAACTATTAGTTGTGATGAAGTCTTTGGTCTTCTTATATTTTTACAAGGCAATGATGCATTCAGTGTATATATTAGAACTTCCTTATTGTTTTGGTCCATTTCCACGATTTCAGAGTACATTTTAATCCTCAATTTGTTATTGATATAGATCAACCAAGTATAACCCTGTGGTTGCTTATATAGTTTTAGAGTTTCCCTTACATACAGTTTTCCTTAACCTGGGTCACAGTAAAGGATCATTTATAAAAGTAATGGATTGTTTCCTGTTTCTGCCAGCTGATTTGATTCAATATGAAGTTCCCTATGTACTATGGGTTACATAACTAGTATGGAATCTGTGGTACATTCTTCTTTTAGTTTGGTATTAACTGAATTAACCATTTATATTCTCTAAATCATTGAGGACGTTTTTTAATAAACACTTGAACTGTTCTCTTCTTCACACACCCTGCTCCAGCAATACTGTTCACCTGGCTCTTACTCAAACACACCACATTAGCTCTCCGTGGCCTCTGCTCATGCTCTTCTCTCTTACCCCCCAAAAAAACTTACTTTTCTAAGCACCTCTTAGCTCACTCCCTTTGCATAATGTCACCTTTCATCAAAGCCATCCCTAAACACCTCATTTAAAACTGTACCACAACCCCTAGCAATTCTAGTCCTCTTACTATTTTATCTGCCCCCTTATAGGACTTGTGACTTCCTACCATTATACATATTTTATTCATTTATTATTTATTGCTTAAATTGTTATAATCATTTATTATGGCTAATTAACATACATATTAAACTCAGGCATTTAGTTGATTAGCTATTAGCCTCAATTACATTTTGTTTTTTAATTTATATTTTAAATTGACAACTAGAAAGTGTATAGATTAAGTACAATACGGTGCTTGGAAACAGGCATATATTGTAGAATGACTAAATCAAGCTGAGTAACTTATGCAGTACCTTACATGCTAATCTTTTTTTGTGGTAAGAACACTTGAAATCTATTCTACTGTCTTAGCAATTTAAAAATGGGCAAAGGACTTGTATAGACATTTCTTCAAAAAAAAAATTACAGATGACTAACAGGTATATGAAAAGGTGCTCAACATCACTAATTATCAGAGAAATGCAAATAAAAATCACAATGATATATCACCTAACTCCTATTAGGATGTCTGCTAGAAAAACAAAATGTAACAAGTGTTGACAAGGATACAGAAAAATAGAAATCTTTGTACACCTTGTACACTGTTGCAAGAGCATTGGTAGAACTACTTTGGAAATTCTTTGTAATTATCTGCTAAAGATGAAAACACTCATACTATGTGACCCAGTATTTCTACTTTGAAGTGATATAGCCAACAGAAATACATGCACCAAAAGACATGTACAAAAATGTTTCCAGTTTCCAGTTCTGCATGTAGGGAGCTTAGAAGTTGCTACTCCAACCCTAACAAGTAAACCATTGAGCAAACTGAGAAATTACCTCTTATTGGACCCAGGATAGGGGAGGACACAGGGAAACCACTGTCCCCAAAAGACTAGAGAGACAGACTGGTACATACTGAGAGTCACAGCTTACTAGGGCATACAGTCACAAATAGAAATCCCACAGGAAGCAGTGCCATGGTAGAAAAACCTGAACTGTAATTGACGAATTACAGGAGGTTCAGTGTGAACAACGCTGAAAGTTAAAAACTCCAGGGGGACCCAGTCATGGGGAAACCCCACTATTTTGTTAGACTTACCTACATGAGCTCAATTAGATTCTCATAGTAAATATTGCAGAAAAATCCCTGTGTACTTCTGGCAGCAGAACCATTTTGAAATATGCCAGAGCACTGTACTCTTCTTAATAAGGTTTGCCGCCAGGAGAAATTAGTTAGCTAAATCCTAACCTGGTGGGGTATTATTAGAGCCTGACTCCATGGAAGGGAAATACCTAACTCTTGTCAACTTTAACCTTCTGCATCAGAGAAGGGAAATACTAAACTCCAGACAGCTCTAGCCGTCCTGTCCTACCAAAGAGGGGAGAAGAATACTGAGGAAACACTTACAAGTTTTCCTTAGAAAACTTGTAAGGACCGGAAACAAATGCTTAGTAAAAGACTGAGACTTAATCAGAGGATGATAGAATGTCTCACCTCCCCTTTACCCCACCTATCTACTATATTACTAAAAGCTGATTTGCAGAAGTTCCTTTTACCTAGTATATCATATCCAGCTACCAAGAAAAAATTACAAGGCATACCAAAAGGCAAATAATACAATCTGAGGAGACTAGAGCAAGCTTCAGACCCAGATATGTAGGGATTCTGAATTATCAGATGAGGAATTTAAATCCACCGTGATTAATATACTAATGGCTGTGATAGATAAAGAAGGCAGCATGCAAGAATAGGTGGACGCTGTAAAAGAGAGATAGAAATACTAAGGCAAAAGCAAAGAGAAATGGTAGAGAGTAAAAACATTGTAAAATAAAGAATGCCTTTGTTAGGCTTATCAGTAGATTGAACATGGCTAAAGAAAGAGTCTCTGAGCCTGAGAATATCTCAAACATAAACCTCCAAAACTGAAAAGCAAAGAAAACAAAGACTGGGAAGAGAGAAAAAAAAAATATCTAAGGACTGTGGGACAACTATAAAAGGTGTAACATATGCATAAGGGGCATACTAGATGGAAGTTATGATATAATCATACGATGTGATATAGTCATACAATGGGAGATCATACCGCAAGGATAATGAATAAGCTATTGCTATACACATCAACATGAATGAATCTTCTAGGCATAATATTGAGTGAAAGAGATAAAACCACAAAAGTATACTATATGATTGCATTTATATAAAGTTCATCAACAGGCAGAAATCAGCTGTATTATTAAGAGATGGTAAGTATTAATTTAAAACAAGATAAGGAAGTGATTAAAATATTAAGAGATGACAAGTATAGATATAAAGACAAGGTTACCTAAGATGGGAGCAGAAGAAGGACCTGTGATTAGAAGATGCACATGCAGAGCTTCTGGCAGTGTTTATTTCTTGACCCACTTAGCTGTTCACATTAAAATTATTGTTATATTGGACATTTTGTTTTATACAGTTTTTATGTGTTATACTTAATTTAAAATATGGTTAAAAAACTATTGTGTCCATTCTCATTTCCTACACTACAATCTGTTAACATTATTGCTCTATTTCACTTTTACTCTGTTAATAGGGATTGTGCTTAACTATTTTGACTTTTCTGATCCCCATTAAATTACTTTTATATATGAGTGTCGAAAATAATGATTTTTTTTCCCAGCTGAAGCTGGAAAAAATACTAACATGGCAAACAATGTAGATTTAAATGGTTTTAGTGATTCTTTTCTACTACAATATTATTGAAATATATTTTCTGATGAAATGAGTTGAAATGCTATTTTTGTCCTTAAACATTTTCCCACATAGATGTAGATTCCTAGCTTCCCTTGTACCTGGCCCTCACTTGATTCAGGTTGAATCAGTTGTGAGAAGCACATCTGGTCCTGTTAAAGATTATCTTTGGTAATATTAAGGAATAGAAGAGCTTTTCAAAAGTGAACTATCTTCAAATATAATCAGTAAAAGATGCTGATAGAAATAGGGCCTCTCTCCCTCTCTCTCTTTCCCTTTTTTTAAAGAGGGTGGTCTTGAACTCCTTGCCTCAAGCTGTCCTCCCACCTCAGCCTCTCTTCCCTCCCAAGTGCTGGGAATTTAGGCATGACCCCCCACACCCAGCCAAAATTGAGTCTTTTATATGGCTGTACTTTGTTCTGATATCATTAGTCAATCAAATTGATATAATTGCTAAAATGCTATATTAGTTCCGACTTTCAACAGCCCTTCAAAGGAATTGCAAATTGCTAATACAATCTAAGAGTTATTTAGGAATCTGATTCCTTCCCACCCTTCAAATTAACTCCAGTGTCTCAAGGGACATCCTTATATCCTACTCAGACTAGTTGTAGGCTGAGAGGGTGGTGAATAGTGAGTGGTTCTTCTCAGTCTGAACAGATCTCTAGTCATTCTAAAACCCAGTCATTTGCCATTACTGTATAGAAGAAACCATAAGTAATGGACTAGTCCTTAAGAAAACCTCTCATCAAAGTATGCTTCTTTATTGTAGGTAATCCGTGCCTTTCTTCTCTGTCCAACGATTGAACGAATGTCTGAGTCACCCAATGGCAGAATTGCCACTCCACTTTTGTGCTGGTTTCGATATGTTCTCTATGCTACTGGCTACTTATTATTTAAACCATGTCCTGAGAAAATGAAGTCCTTCCTAATCAGAAGGGGCCTTCAACTAATGAACCTGGAGAATGAATTTTCGCCATTGAATTTATTAGAACCATTCTGCCTTGGTAAGCACAGATTTTAAAATGTATATGTTTATTCTTGTATCACAAAGTGTTTACACAATACTCTCTGACAGTGGACAAATACCAAACAAGCAATTATGTATTAGTTGTTTTTCTCTTCCAAAAGTTTAAAACTAGAAATAAATAAAATTAGAAATAGAATGAGGGAATGTTTACATGAGAAATTAGACAGAAAAGTCTCATCAAGCTTTAATTTTACCTTATGTTTCTGATTCTTCACTCTAGCTGCAAGATGGCAAGAAATACTTCTTCTGCACATAGTACATATGGAGTCCTTACAGGAATCCTGGGTGTGCCTGTTAGCTCAGTGGGAGTACTTTGCAAAAAAACAGCAAAAGGACACAAAGCCTAATATTCTTGTAGAGTTAATAGGTTGTTTTTAATTTTCCTTCTTTAAATGTTTTGGGAGAATTTAAATTATAAAAGTAACAAATAGTTGTCATAGTAATATATTTTAATACTGGATGCTTTGCTGATTGTATTTTATGAATATGCTAGGAAATGTTTTTGTTACTTTACTTTTTGGCTTCAAAAGTTGTTTTAAAATGTAATTTATCTTTTTAGATTATACTATTTTATACTGTATTTATAAATGACTTTCATAATAAAGTAAACCTAGTTTCTTAATCTATAAGGTGGGGATAACAATACCCCATACTTCAAAAGGTTATTCTAGTGTTAAATGTGATAAAATATGTAAAGCTTCTATCTAGTGATTTATTTATAACAGACCTCCAATGTACAATATAACAGTTTCAACAGCAGCTAATGGCACTTTCTAAGGTTTTACCTGTGGTCCTCAGAAGAACTAATAAGGTTTAATATTGCTGTTGTTCCCATTTTAGATGAAGTAACTGAGGTACAAAGAAGTTACATGACTGCCCAAAGTCATACTGCTAGTGTGTAGTGTTTAAACCCAGGCATTCTGCTGCTGTATTGCATTTCCTTTCACTGTAGCTGCTGCTGTTGTCTTTTTGCCCTAGTTAATGATAACAGCAGGACTCCTGAATGAAGTTTTCTATGCTCAGCTATAGTAAGAATGCTGTAAGGTCACATGCATAACGAACTAGAAACAAGTTAACAGCCCTGCCTGTCCAATTGTACAGTGGCAGTTCTTATGGGAGGTGTTTTTCTAAATATGTAGCAAGAAGCAGTTCTCACAAATACAAGGTTCAGTATATTTGTCGTATCTATAGATCTTTTCTGTTTCCATTTGCCCCCCAATTTCCATTATTTAATGTAGCCTTAGCACAGTGGTCAAAAAAGACGCGATAGGAAGAGGGGAAGCAAGGCTTAGGACAGTCTTAGAAATTGCCAGAGGCTGAGTTGGAAATATCCCTGAAAGACCATTTGCTGCAACTCCTCATCTCTCCACCATATTGTTACAGTAAAGGGTCCCAATCCATACCCCACGAGAGGGTTCTTGAATCTCGCGCCAGAAGGAATTCAGGGCGAGTCTGCAGTGCAAAGCAAAACCAAGTTTATTAAGTAAAGTGGTGAAAGAATAGCTACTTCATAGACAGAATAGAACATTCCTAAAATTAAGAGGAGGAGCGCATCCACCCTAGATATAGTGCTTGTATGTATGGGAAGATGCGCTCTGCTACAAGGGTTTGTGATAAAGGATTAATTTTTGTAATTACTGTATTTTGCAAGAATTTGTATTATTATCTGTAAAGCAAAATTAGGAATGCCTTTGTTCTCCAGATATCGGGATATCTGGACACTCCCAAGTCTGGGTCTGTTTTAGTAAACATTATTAGTTTGTTCCCCTAACCGTAAACATCTAGAGGCTAGGAATGCCTTACTTTCTGAGAACACAGCCCAGCAAGTCTCAGCCTTATTTTCCTAGCCCACACTCAAAATGAAGTCTCTCTGGTTCAAACACCTCTGACAGTATTGAGGAACAGATGCCTACTGGTGGTGAAAATGGTACTGAAAGGAAGTCAGAAACCTCAACTCTCATTTTGGTTCTGCCCTAGACTCACTCTGTGGCTTCAGTTTTTCCCCTCTTTGGTTTTCAGTTGTTGATCTAATCAGGAGTTAGGGCCAGTCTACCTTTGGAAATTACCTGAGACCAAATGGAATCAACATTTGAAATTCTGGCAAGTGTATGTAAAATTCTCCACATATGCTTTGATAAGATCATTTTACTTCCCTTTACAGTTTTGTTTGTCCCGCCCAGTACCCTTCACCCCACCCACTGCCGCCCTGTTGCTTTTAGCCATTTCTTTTTGCCTTATAGAATGGATTTTAAAAAGCCTTCTTCAGTTAGGGATTCCATTTTCTTCTTGGGAATTCTGCTTCCAGGAAGTTGGAGTAAATGGCTTTTTACTGTTTCTCCTGCTAAGTACTAAAACCCTAGATGTTATCTATAAAAATTCTGCTTCCAGGAAGATGGAGTAAATGGACTTTCTACTGTTTCTCCTGCTAAATACCCTAGATGTTATCTATAAAACAACATCAAGAAGACTGTACAAGGTAGAGAACAGAAAGCAGGCTATGTAGGGACTTTGGGATCCAAGGAACAAACATGGTGGTGAGTTCGCCGGGTTTTCTTTTTAACGCATATATCCTAGATGTGGAGCCAGCAACCCAGAAAAACCAAAGAGTAGACACTTTTAAAGGCCCCCACAGAAGCCTACTCTCTCTAGCCCAAAGACCAGGAAAGGAGCAACATTTTATAGAGTAGGAAAAAATAGTCTTCTCCCTACCTTGTATACTTCTTAGTTGGGGCAGATCTTTGTTACAAAAGACAGATTAACAAGAAAAATATATAAATTTATTAACATTTATACTTCAAATGTACATGGGAGATACCCAGAGAAAAGAATAAATCTCAGAGAGGTGGCTTCTGAGTTCAGACTTAAATCATCTTCAACTAAAACAAAGGAGGTCAGTAATGGGAGGTGACCAAGAAAAGCACTGCACACAAGACAAGAGTTTGTTTTACAGATTAAGTTGGTGCCCTTTGCATTAACAATAGAGTCCTTGGTTATTTAAAGTCATCCTTCATGGTACAGAGAGGAAGACACTCATACTAATGGAAATGTCCTTTATAGATGTGAATTTCCCTTTAAAAAGGGAACTTCTCCATTTTTAGATTTTCTCCTGTATCTCCAATTTCTCAAAATACTCAGTTTAAAATAATCCTTTTGCCCAAGAGGCATCTTTAGGGATGGCATACTTCGGCCCCCTGCAGTCATTTTGCGACAGTGTATTCTGGTCTTCAATACTTCCTTTCTTTATTATTATTATTATTATTATATGTTTTTTGAGACAGAGTCTCACTCTGTCACCCAGGCTGGAGTACAGTGGCTAAATCTCAGCTCACTGCAACCTCCACCTCCCAGGCTCGAGCAATTCTCCTGCCTCAGCCTCCCAAGTAGCTGGAACTACAGGTGGCCGCCACCACTGCCAGCTAATTTTTGTATTTTTAGTAGAGACAGGGTTTCAACATGTTGGCCAGGCTGGTCTCAAACTCCTGACCTCAGGTGATCCACCTGACCTGGCCTCCCAAAATGCTGGGATTACAGGCGGGAACCACCACACCTGGACTCTGGTCTTTAATACTTTTTAAAAGAAACCTTTAGACAGTAACTGCTGTACTCTACTCCAGCCATCTCCAGTCATGCCCACAAAGGTTGCGTGGACTTTACCCTCTCCCCAGCAGTGATGAAGCACCCCTTTCTTTCCTTGCTCTAGGATACTGTCCCAGAAGAGGCTGAGTAGACAGCAAAGACTTTCATTACTGCCCTGCAGTAATGGAGCCACCATCACCACTACCCCCATGATATCGGTAAAGGTTCATGTGGGGAGAAGTAGCAAGGGACTCCCACTTGTCCTAGGCAAGAGGGTAACAGTGGAAGCCTAGTAGGGAGTCAGAATTTCTACCCATGCCCAGCAGCTATGAGGAGCCCCTTTATCCCTTGGGTGTCAACAGAAGTCAAATGGGTAACTTACGGAATTTCTACCCCTGCCCAGCAGCTGTAAGGAGCCGCTTCAGCCCTTGGGTATCAACAGGAGTCAAATGGGTAACTTAGACTCTATCCTATGTGGCCATAATGAAAAAACAGCTAAAACGTAAAGTTTAAATAAGATCCAGAGTCTCATAACATAATATTCAAACTGTCCATGTTTTAGTTGAAAATCACTTGTCTAACAAAGTCTCAACTTGACTGGAAAAAAAAAAAAGTCCCAGCTACTCAAGAGGCTGAGGCAGGAGAATCACTTGAACCCAGGAGGCAGAGGTTGCAGTGAACTGAGATCGTGCCATTGCACTCCAGCCTGGGTGACAGAGCAAGACTCCATCTTGCGGGGGAATATCAATGCCAACATCAAAATGACAGATATTAGAATTACCTGACAAAGACTTTAAAGCAGCCATTATAAAAATTCTTTAATGATCAATAATAAACATGTTTGAAACTAAGAAGATGATAGAAGAATCTCAGGAAAGAGAAGTTTAAAAAAAACTGAATGGAAATTTTAGAACAAATTTAAAATCTCAATGAATGGACCCAATAATAAAATAAGGGGACAAGGAAAGAATCAGTGAATGTGAGATTAGATCAGTAGAAATTACCCAACAGAGAGAAAATAGACTGAAAAGGGGAAAAAACTGAACAGAACCTCAGGGACCTGCTAGATTACAACAAAACATCTAACATTTGTGATAACACAAGTCCTACAAATAGAGAGTAGGTCTGAAATAGTACTAAAAAAAAATTGGTTAAAAACTCCCAAATTTTGCAAAAGATATGAACTTACAGATTCAAGAAGCTGAGCAAATTTAAAACAGAATAAATCCGAAGAAATCTACACTAAAACACATCATAACCAAGCTTTTGAAAACTAAAACAAAGAAAATGTCTTGAAAGAAGCCAGAACGAAATGATGCATTATTCATGGAAGAAAGTCTATTTGAAGGACAGCTGGTTTTTCATCAGAATCCATGGAAACCTGAAGGAAATGACAAAATA